ACAACAGCTTCTTACACTTTTCCTGCTTAAAAATGCTGCGAAAGTTCTATAGACTGGGAAGGAGCAGTCCTAAACTGGTTAGTCCTTTGGGGTTTTAGAAAGATTTCAAGGCACTCACAGGCATGGTTTACGATGATGAATGCAGAGATACTTTTTCCACCACAGAAGGTAAACATGCACACCAAACCAGTATAACAGGTCAGGGTACACAGTACTGCTGCCCTCCGGCTGCAATTTAGAAGCACAGACACTAAGGCACCTTCTTGCCTAGATACTTTTCTTCTTTTCTTAGCTCAGTAGAATATGTATAATTTCTAAAAAAACTGTCTGAATCGTAAGAAACATGATACATTCAATGCATGTGTGTCTGGATTTTCATGCTGATGCCTCTGGGCTGTGGTGAAAGTCAAGTAAATGTCTTAAAAACCAATGTAACTTTAATGGAGTCCAGAAAAATTCCAAGCCTGGATGGACCAGTCTCAAAATAGCATGACTGAATACCGGACAATTCTTTCTGGGCCATAACTATAGACACCTTTCTAAAAGGTGTCAATATTGAAAGCATTCATAACCCTGATATCCCCTTTTGAAATAGGAAAGTAAATGCCTCCAGAATGTAATGTGCCAAATTCCTCTATTAAATTATAGGCTCTGGGCAGCAAGAGTGGAGACCTGGGTTCTGGCAACTGCTTCTGAGATGGCAAGGGTAATTTTCTTGCCTTCGTAGGATCTGTTTGCTAACTCTACAAAGTAACAACATTGGACTTGAGGCCCTTTAAGCTCCCTGGTACCTTGAAAATGTTAATATTCTACAAATTTTTTTCTCCCCTAACTCTGATGGCCAAATTCTCCTACAGTGGCTTGCTGAAAAGTCCTCTCTTTTCTGCTGATTGTTCTTTAGAACTGGCCTTGGATTTCACAGGGTCTAGTCAACTCTTCTGGACTTTGAAACATTTTTCCCCATAGCTCTAGTCTTTTGTGGCCTGTAGAATAGCGGTTTTCTAGATCTAGAAAACTAAGAACTGGTGTAGGAAGGGAAGCTATAATTAGAAGATGCTCAAAAACATGTAAGCAACTGGTAAGTAGACTTCCAGAGTTACAAGTGTGTGTTGGACAGTCCAGGGGAGACCCCCACTCAAAGAAATCTCTCTCAAGATTGTCTCAGCCTTGAACTCAGAGATACCTTTTATTTAAATAATTCCAAAAATGAATTTGTATATCATATCCTTCACAAAGAGGCAGGTGGCCTTAGACATGCTTTGACCAAGGAGGAATAGGAGGGAAATAAAATGGAAAAAGCTCATGTGGAGTGAGTTTCTGAGGGACGGGGGACTCATCAGATAAGGGACACAGCTGGATAGTGACAGATTCTTTCCCTCTCTTACAATTCCTACTAGGGTCTGCTCTGCCTGTTGCTAATAACTCTGTAATAGAAAACGCATGTCCTTCCTGACAGGGAATACAGGTAAGGGGCATTTTTTTTTTCAACGTTTATTTATTTTTGGGACAGAGAGAGACAGAGCATGAACGGGGGAGGAGCAGAGAGAGAGGGAGACACAGAATCGGAAACAGGCTCCAGGCTCTGAGCCATCAGCCCAGAGCACGATGCGGGGCTCGAACTCACGGACCGCGAGATCCTGACCTGGCTGAAGTCGGACGCTTAACCGACTGCGCCACCCAGGCGCCCCTGGTAAGGGGCATTTTTATGTCCAAGGGTAGTCTCTGGAAAAATCTTAGCCTAAGGAATTTTCCAGGGAGCTGCCTGACTAGGAGGAAGTTGTCACCCTCCTGTCCTTCCAGTCATGGCCTTTCACTACTATCACAGATTTACCACATGCTACTCAGCGGGACATGTGAGTCTCCAGGTATTACACAAGGGAATGTTGCTTCCTTTCCTCAGCAAATACAACGCTCGAAAAGCATTCACTCCCATTCCTGTTGCCATATTGTATCTTATTTATATTTTCAAAAATAAGAAGAAAGAAATCTAGCATTTTATCCTATCCTAGATAATTCTATTTTATGAATCCTGAGAATATTATGAGCCTTCTCATATAAAATTTTACATTATTCTCTGTAGGGTTACTTTTCATTGGGACTGAAATGAAGAGATTGCTTTTTATGTTGGAAAAAAAAATAATTGAGATCTGTTCACATGAAGCTGAAGATAACCTTGGAACAACTTCACTTCCATTTGGGAAAAAATAGGTTCCTAATACCATAGCTGCTGATAGCTCACAGGTTGTAAAGTGTACCCTTACTTGGCTACCAGGGTGTAAAACCTACAGGAAATAGCACTAAAATGAATAATCTTTGACAATGTCTATGGCTAGCCCTCCAAGTTGTGAGTAGACATGGTCACAGTCTAGCCACATGGCATTAGAAAACCACTATTCAAAGCACATGATGGAATTCTAAGGATAATCTACTATTACTTATTATCTTCATAACCAAAAAAATTAAATCATCCATATGTTTAATGCACAATAACATTAATTTGAATACAGTCTCTGATAGAAATTTCATTTCTATTCTGATTATTTGTAAGCCAAGCTGACAATAATTAGTATTATTTCAGAGAACTTCAGAATCTTTTTATAAAGTCTGCTAAGTCAAAGACAATATTAAACATTTCAAAATGCCTTTTTCTTTTACTTCAATAATTTTTAAACTCAAGCTGAGATTGTGACAAGGTATTGCACAGAAAACCGAATGATGTTAGAGCATTCGATAAATGAAGATTCCAGAATCTATTTTGATTTGTTTTATAAGATATTAAACTTATCAAAATCTCTTATTTCTACACACATCAAGTTGCAAATTATCCCCAGAGTACTTTCCTTTATAATTACAAAAAAAAATCCAAAAATAATTTAAAGCCAACAACTGAAGTACCTTCACTTATCATTAACTCTCTCCTGATTACTAAATTCACTTAATAATTATATGGCAAATGCAACTTCTTTAAGGTAGAAGCATTTCAATACTCCAAGAAGATGGATGTGAACTATTTGTAGATCTACCAAGGAAACATTTCAACTCAGAACAACGCAAAAGCTCACTGAAAAGCTTTCATAGAGCTCACAGGGGAAAATCGAGATAGAACTGACCTCACAAGCATTCCTCGGCTACAGAAGGTTTGTGAATCAAGGTACTTGATTTTCTACCTCAAACCATAACATTCAAATGACTTATTATAGCTCTTGTTTACAATTTTATGCATTTTCCTGATATATACTGATTATTCATTCTGAAAGTGTGTGTGTGTGTGTGTGTGTGTGTGTGTGTGTGTACATTTATACTCACCCTGTGACAGTGGAACATATTACCAGAAACATAACATACATAAAACTGCCAGAGAAAAGAGAAAAAAAAAAACAGAAAATCTATACACATTCTTGAACTCTAAAATAAGAAGTAAATATTACTCATGATCCTGACACAAAGAGAGACAAAGCCCGGTTACTCCCCAGTTTATTGCAATCTCTGATGTACCTGCAGGTACACCTGTACATACAGGTGATTTACTTGCACAGCCTGGAATAGCCTCTTCACGTGGTTGCCAAATAGTTAAAGATATTTTACACAAAATAATTATTACATGAACAACATTAACAACCTAAATACTTCCCACATATCTCTCCAAGGGAAGACATTACAGAGACAAAGTATATGTTATAATCACGTGCATATGATTTTCTCCATAAAACATATATAAATAAATGAATAAATAATTTCATAGAATTATGCTAAATAAGTATTTTAGCTTGTTGTTTTTCCTCAATAGACTGTACTACATGACTTTTTTAATTCATCTTTAAAAATGCTTGTTAATAGCATTATATGCAGCATTTAACTAAATGTTTTTTTAGGAAACATACAGAAATAACAATAAAGTTCTGGGATTCTTGAACAGATTTAGTGGATAAGGGATTAAAGGAAATAAAGAAAAGAAACACAGGCATTCTGGAAGATAATTTGACTTTAGAAAATGGACACTACACTTTTATGACCAGGCGTGTCTAGGATCATCTGATTCTCATATATGTTTTATTTCATGTAGTCATGTTCAATTAAATGCCCTAAATAGAAAACTGGGTGGTTTGGGGATTTTCTTGACGGTAGCTTCACAAGACATAACTAAACAAATAAAAATGTTATTAGTAGATTTAAAAAATATCTTGACCAAAATGTCTCTTGTAAAGGTGACAAATAATTCAGACAACAGTAGACTACTAGAAATCATAGCAACAAATAAGCATTATGTCAAGTTTTTATTTGTTTTTAAGAAGGACCTTTTCTCACTCAAAAAAGTGAAATGTGTGAGCCACCTTGTATTGTTTCTATCAACAAGCCTAACCATAGAAGCCCAGTCAAGCCAATGTCAACAAAGCCAATCCCTTCAAAGGACAAAGGTATCTGATTAAGTAAGACCTGTAAAATAAATCCCCTCTCCCTAACTGATAGGCTCTCCTTTGAGATCCTGTTTTCTACCTTAAAAAAAATGGTTAGATTAGTATATGAATACAAAGACACTTAGCTGGTAAATCCCAGAAATGGCAAAAGTTGATTACAAATAAAAAGTCCATAAGAAGAGATAAAATTAAAACAATATTCGTCTATGTTGGTAAAGATCTAGCATGAAAATGCACGACAAGTCGGTCACACCATTTCTCCAGCATTACATTGGAGAGTAAAGATAAGACTTTTCCTACTCTCCACCAAATTTGGGTTTCTGTGTTGGTTGAGTTTTTGAGCTCAAAGAGACAGCCAGCTTCTTTTGAAACTAGAAAATTTGCCACCTCTTTTCCTCACACCCAAAGCACACCTTGAAACTCGGCAGGGGAACAGGCAAGCATACACACATGCACACACACACTCACACACATGTGCATGCTTGTGCACGTGCACACACACACACACACACACACACGAACACTTTGTAACAGAAACTGCTTAAATTTCGGATTGGAAACATTTCAAAGACTGTTGGCACTTACCTTGCAAAGATGTGTTAGGTAAACTTGCTTCATTCTCTCCCATTTTATTATTTCTTTTTAAAGGGGGCCAAGCGATTTCAAATTGTGTCAGTTACCCTGCAAGCTTTGTGACCTTCTGACTTTCTACTGTAGTATTGTAACAGTATACTACCTGCTTTCTTCTGTGAATAATTACCATTCTGCTTCCTGAGTTACCTGGGCTTGCAGGACCTGTTTTACTATGAAATGAGATCACATCCTTTGATCCAATGTACTGCTATTAATGTGTGCTTCACAAAATGTGGCTTTGTTTTAGTTTTGATATTGACTTCTAATTCTCTACTTTCACTTTAGTCTAGAAACGTATTTACATTTTCCCTGAATGTCGATACTACCAACACACCATGGTGCAGGGCCAGAGTTTTGTTTGTTTTTTAGTTCTCCTGACCTGTTTCTCTTACAGAAATAAAAAAAAAAAAATTAAAGTGAATTTTGCAATGTTCGTTTAAAAAAATACACAGACATAATGAACAGCATGGGAATGAATCAGTTTTGTGCAGTGGTGGAAAGACAGTCTTTGGACTATCTCTAGTACTAGCTGTGGAACTCTAAGAGGGGGCTAGAACTTCTTTGAGTCTCAGTTTGCTCAACTATAAAATGGGGATGGTATCTATTTCCAAAGGTTCTTATGAAGACTGAAAGCAATAATGTATGTGCTAAACACTGAATGGCAGATGATAAACACAATAGAGGCAATATATCCCCTCCTCCCCTCCTTTTCTTCCTTTTCCCTTCATCTTCTTCCTTCTTTCTCTTCCTTGTCCTTCCTCCCTCTGACAAATGGAAAGAATGCCCAAGTAGAGCACTGATGTCACTATGTCCTGAACCCAGCTGTTCTACTTATTAACTGAGAGATCTTTAAAATGTGATACATGGGACGCCTGGGTGGCGCAGTCGGTTAAGCGTCCGACTTCAGCCAGGTCACGATCTCGCGGTCCGTGAGTTCGAGCCCCGTGTCAGGCTCTGGGCTGATGGCTTGGAGCCTGGAGCCTGTTTCCGATTCTGTGTCTCCCTCTCTCTCTGCCCCTCCCCCATTCATGCTCTGTCTCTCTCTGTCCCAAAAATAAATAAACGTTGAAAAAAAATAAAAATAAAAAAAAAAATAAAATGTGATACAATCCAATCTTGGAGCGCCTCAAGGTCCTCATTTGTAAAAGGATACTGGTATTTGCATTGCCTTTTTACCAGGAACAGAATGAGTATTAATTTAAACTATTGTGCTTCAAACAAAAAATAAGCTCTAGCAAAGATAAGCAACAAATCAGAGATTATCTTTACTCATTTGTAAAAGTGAGAGAGGAAGTACATCACAAAAGTAAATCAATTTATTTAAGCTCTGTCTCCCATAAAGCATCTAGAACAAAAGACAATCTCTAACTTTCCCCTCCAGAATTTCTTAAAAATTTTAGCTTTGTTCAGACTAGTTTTAAAAAAAGCCCAAGATTCAAACATCTTCTCCTTTAATGGTTCTTTAATTTTCAATTTGAAAAGAATCTGTATACCATGTTTGCTAGCTTATTAATGAAAACATTGATTATATAAGTTATGTAAACAGGAAGGTAAACAACTAGAATAGCTACTCTCAAAAATATTAGCAATAAAAACAAACGTGACATAAAAAAATCCTCATCACAGTTAATTTGCATTTTTTTCATTACTTCTCTGGGTCTCAGTTTCTTCATCTATAAAATGATCTGGAACATTTACTGTCTAAGCTCCATTCTCTCATGATAAATGACAAAACCTCTGATTAAAATCTAAGTTGTGGTTCATTCCAGAATAGAGTAGTCTTTTGCCTACTACAATTGCATAATGTATATATTTTGTTACATACTTTACCAAATATAACTGGAAATTGAATGTTTTCCAATAAAACTATAATCATCACATTCTGACTTCCCCCATAACAGGAGAAACACACATATCAATCCTCCTTCATTATAACAACTTGGAAATGTATTAACATACCTGTCCCAGGCACCTAAAATTAGTCAATAACCAGTATAAAGCACCTCTTATCTACAAGTTGAATTATGGGATGTGTGAAGTTACATTGAAAGTAGAATAAAGAAGTCCTATTCTAAGGCAGAGGAAAAACATAAAAACACCAGAACCCCCAAAAGTGCTTGTAGCTGCCCAGAAAGTAACATAAATGTATACTCAATTATACTGAAATAGCTTCAATACGTATAAAATGCCATGCATTCACTTACTCATTCACTCTCTTTCTCTTGTGCTCCTCATATGCCTGGAAAATTCTCCTCTCATCACTTCCTCTTTGCCTTACTAATTCATATGCAGGAATTCTTCTTCAAACTAATCTTGGTTGAGACTTCCTCTATATGCTCCCAGATGCTTCTTAACAACTTGGAATTTTCCTTTCACCATGGCTCTTCTCACGTTATATTGTATTGTATGTACTGCTTATTTCTGTCCTTAGGAGCTGTTGTGTTAAGAGACCTTTTCTGTGCCCACCACTATATCCCTGTAACTGTGCTTGGGAGCACAGTTCCTACCTCATATTATTCTTTCAACAAATGTTATAAAGATGAATAAAATTACCATCATCAGAAAGGGTGAATTGAGGGATCTCGAAGAAAAGAAAGACATAGATTGGCAAAGAAGATGATGAAATATATTCCAGTAGGAAAAAAATGCCAAATTAAATTTCAAAAGTGAAAAGAAATGGGGGTAACCATTTAGGTTTATATGCAAGAGAAAATAATTGAGAACTGGAAGGTTAAAAGGGATTAGGACATTTATGAGAACTCCCAAAAAATAATTAAAGTAAATGAAAGAGGAAAAAAAATAATGAATGCATTCATTTAAAATATACATACCCGCACTCATACCAAAACCAAATAACATTGGTAGCATTAGCCAAAATAACTTTACTGAATGGTGAAAGGAACAATAATTATAAAATTAACAAGACTTTTGGAATATTGGGAAGAAAATCTATGAGAGTGACTGAGATAACACATTTTTTAAACCACTTAGATGACTTAAGAGAAAACAACATCTACAGCCATATAATCTTTTTGTGTTTCTAACATTATCTTTTTTTTTTTTTTGTAATTTTATTTACTGTTTAGAGAGAGAGAGAGAGAGTGCAAGCAGGGGAGGGACAGAGAGAAAAGGAGATACAGAACCTGAAGCAGGCTCCAGGTTCTGAACTGTCAGCTCAGAGCCTGATGCAGGCCTCGAACCCATGAACCATGAAATCATGACCTGAGACAAAGTTGGATGCTTCACTGAGCCACCAAGGCGGGCCATCTAACATTCTATTTCTAAAGCAAACTTCAAGGAGAGAGTGGGCACAGAGAAGGTTATAAATGTTATTCGTTATCTCAGAGTGCAGTTTCTACCTAGAAATTACCCAAGAGGAAGAAACCAATGTTAAAGTTTAAATCTGTCATGGGCAGTTATTAAAGTGATTATGTAGTTCTGTTTTTCAAGGGAAGATACATGTGAAAATTTGGAAAAAAATTATGAAGTCATTCAAAATTCTGAATGTTGGCATTGTCCTATAAAACATGGAGTCCCGGGTATGTAAAAGTCACACACTTAGTAGTTACATAGACCTGGTACTTATCTTGTCAATGAAAAGTACAACAGTAGGAGAACAAATAATCTGGTCAAATTATCCATATCCATACATATGGATATCCATAGATATACATGAAGAAAAAAGGATTAGAGCTATCAAAACTGTAATCTTCTAAATCACTATGAGGAAGAAATTCCATGGTTAGCAACCAGAATGGATCTTTGAGATTATCCTTTCAAGAATTAGGTAGAGGTGCTTGAAGAGTGCCAAAATATACCACTCTAAAATATACCACTCTAAAATAGGTCTCATTGGCATATGGATTATTTTGAGCTAAATGCCCTTGAGAACCAGCAGACACTTGAAAAGTTCTTTTCCTCCTCTCACTGCCTAAAAATAGAGTATAAATTTCTTCTTTTGTAAAGAAAATTTACATGTATAAAGGAAATTTCCATTTGTAAAAGTCGGAGACAACTCTTACCACTTGAGAAACAACCTTCCTTAACATGCATTTTCTTCCCTCATTTTCCCATAACTTGCCTCTCTTTCCCAGGAGCCCCAACCCCTTTCCATTGTTTAGCCTAAAATGGTGTAAACCTCAATGGGTCTCCTTGAGTCCCATTTCCTTGTGAGACTCCCATGTAAATCTACAGAATTACAACTGTTCCCCCATCCCCCTTCTCTTGTTAATTGTTAATCTCTTTTATCAGTTTGCTCAAAGGCCCAACCAGTGAACCTGGGAGGGTAGACAGAAAAGGTTTTTTTTTTCCTCCCATACATGCTCTTTTATCAAGAATATATACTGGTGGTGTTTATTTCATGCATTTTGTAATAAAGTAAACCTAGTTTCTATCCAATCCTGCTCCAATGTTTCAACTGTGTCAGTCTGTTTCTTCATCTCTAAAGTGGAACTAAGTAACAGTATTTTGAAAGAAATTAAATGTTTATTTAAATGTTGAACATGGTCCTGACTGCCTTAGTCTCTAGAGCATGCAACTCTTAATCTCAGGGTCATGAGTTCAAGCCTCATATTCGGTACAGACCTTACTTTAAAAACTTCAATCAATCAATACTCAACATGGTATCAGCCAAATATAGGATGTTTAGTTTTTAAACATCACCTCAAAATAAATCCCCAATCCTGTCAAACCACCCCAAATCTGACAAACATTTCAAATATTGGAAACAGGACATAAAATTTTCTGAATTGAGCCTAGTTTTCTTAAAATTCTTTCTTGATTAAAATAAAGCTGTCAACAGTGTAAAAATGAAAAAGTTTGCACCCTGACATGATGAACCATTTGGCTTTAGACCCAGGCATTTCATCACTTAGCATTAAAAAAAAAAAAAGGCCTTTTAAAAATGTTTTTGTTTTTTGAGAGAAAGAGAGCAGATTAGGGAAAGGGCAGGGGATGGATACAGAATCCAAAGTGGGCTCTGTGCTGACAGTAGAGCCCCGTGTGGGGCTCGAAGTCATGAACCATGAGATCACGACCTGAGCCAAAGTCTGACGCTCAACCAACCTGAGCCACCCAAGCACCCCGGCAGTTTTGATTAAAGATTCTTTGTTGAAGCCGTAATTTTGTTGTTTGATGGTAGCCAAGACTTTCTAGTTTAGGGCTGTCTGATGCTCACAACTGCTAAATGCTTTTGAGTCCTACCAGAAATAAGACAGGTCAACTAAGAAAGGGGGAGAATGTATATACTATACAAGAAGAATGGGTAGAGATAACAAGATTTTCTCAAGCTAAGCAATATTTGCTGAACATATTCTATGTCCTCTCTTCCAGATCTGGGTATGACCATTTACCCAACTGCCCTAGACAGAAACCGGTTTTATCTTTAGCTCTATCCTCCCACATTCCCCAAACAGTCCTAAGTCTTAACAATTCCATGTCCTAAATGTCATTGAAATTCATCTTCTTAACTTTCCATATACTCTAGGTAAGGTCATTATCATCTCTTGCCAAGATAGAAACTCCCTAAATGAATTCCCCCTCTCCTCTAATCCATCCTTTCTATATCTGTTGAGTCATCTGACAGATAAAGAGTGATCTTCCTAAAACACAGTCATGTCATTTTCATGCTTACATATGTTCACTGGTCCCACAGCTTACTCAATAATGTCAATACATTATCACCACAATTTCTATCCCATTGACTGCTAAATCCCATTATCATCTAATTCATTTAACTTCAGCTTCTCTGACATTCCCAAGCACATCTGATATTAATTCTAATTAGTTGAATACATAATATGTACATAAT